ATACGCTTCAGCTGGTTTGCACTGCTCCAGTGATAGAACAACAAGCTGGTTGAATCAATCGGTTCTTGCAGGCTTAAGGTTGTTCTGTGTCACTGGAGCAGCACAGAGCTGTGAAGCATGCTGATGGATCTGGCCACAAATCTTAAAATGCGCTATTTTTCCCATTAAAAAACCCGTGTGAGCTGATATGCTGTGTTTAATTACATAACAGCAAGTATTGACTTGCAGGGGCATGGCTGAAAAAAAAACCCTTCTTTGTATTATGTTAGGCAGGCAGTGGGTCATCCTCCTGGGAAAGAAATTTAACATCTGCCAGGAGTCGAAGTTGGTTAGATTCATGCTGCTTTTGTGGAGTTTGTGAATACACAAAGGGCGACTGGATACAACATTGAAATCTGCCCCCTTGCTGATAGCGGCTGTTGGCACGACTCTCACAAAGAGCACTTTGCACACCAGCAAAGTGGCACTAAGTTGTACACACAGCTACAACTGGGTCCTGTTAAAATCACAGAGAAGTTTAAACAGGCAACAATATGCAGCTCTTCCAGCTCTAGCAGGACTGCCCAGTTTACAGTGGCACCGGTCTCTACTTTGTGGGCCATTTAAAATATAGCTGTTGAGTGCTAATTATTTCCAAATTCCAGTCTCCACAGCAATTCTTCTAATTATTGGATTTTGTAGAATCACAGAATGGTTTGGGTTGGAAGGGATCTTAAAGCCCATCCAACTCCAGCCCCCTGCCATGGGCAGGGACACCTCCCACCAGCCCAGGTTGCCCAAAGCCCCATCCAGCCTGGCCTTGAGCACCTCCAGGGATGGGGCATTTACAGCTTGTCTGGGCAGCCTGTGCCAGGGCCTCACCACCCTCTGAGTGAAGAATTTTTTCCAAATATTTAATCTAAGTCTCAGGTCTTTTAATTTAAAGCCATCCCCCCTTGTCCTATCCCTACACCCCTTGACAAAGAGTCCCTTCCCCGCTTTCCTGTAGCCCCCTTTAGCTACTGGCAGGCTGCTGTAAGGTCTCCCTGGGGCCTTCTCTTCTCCAGGCTGAACAACCCCAACTCCCTCAGTCTGTCTTCACAGGAGAGGTGCTCCAGCCCTCTGATCATCCTCGTGGCCCTCCTCTGGACTTGTTCTAATACTTCCATGTCATCCATGTGCTGGGGGCCCCAGAGCTGAATGCAGGGCTCCAGGCGTGGTCTCAGGAGAGCAGAGCAGAGGGGACAATCCCCTCCCTTGCCCTGCTGGCCATGCTGCTTTTGATGCAGCCCAGGATACAGCTGGCTTTCTGGGCTGCAAGAGCACATTGCCAGCTCATGTTGAGCTTCTCATCCACCAATACCCCCAGGTCCTTCTCCTCAGGGCTGCTCTCAATCTATTCCCTGCCCAGCCTGTATTTGGGTTTGTGATTGCCCCAGCCCAGGTGCAGGACCTTGCACTTGGCCTTGATCTCTTTTTAAACAGTCACAGTATACACTCAGTTTAAGAGTTGGTATAGTTATTTTATTTAAGCATGTGATTTTTTTTTTTTTTTTTTTGCTGATATATTTATACAGATAGTCTTTAGCAGAAGCTATCTGCTTTATTCTGTTCCCTTTTCCAGTACAGTTTATTCCCTTTCCTCACACAAACAGAACTGCTGTTCTATAAACCATTTGTAAATGACATTTGGTTTTCACTACCTATTCCTATATAGGTGAAGGCAAATACATAAGGTTCATTCCTGACCGTGAGAAGGACTGGTTTGGCAAGTCTTTGGCAAACAGACTTCTTAATTTCTATCTGAGTTGGCAAATTAATCATATGGATTGCTGTTACATGCACTTGAGGACCTTTAAAATTAGCCTGAGCACAAATAATGACCTTCAATCTTGTCCAGAAGCTTTGCTGCCTTTTTGTATTTACCTTGTATTCCTTTCCTGTGTACAAGTGACTACACAGGGTGCAAAGCAATTCAGAAATGGACCTACAGATCATATCTGTCCCTTCAAGCAGCTCTTCATCTGTCCGAAGCAGCAATTCCATGACCATTTTCTGACCTGAAACGTCATTCCTATGGACCCACCCTGCTCCATGTGCATTTCTGCTGTTCCTCTGACTCCTTGGCAGGGATGGTGCAGGTACTAACTGTCAAAAAACTAACTGAACAAAATAAAATAAATAGTCTTGTGATGACGAGGAGGGGTGGTGTGACCACAAAGGAAAACAGATCAGCTTAGATTGGCTTCAACTGTCAAGGAGCCGCACCCTTATTCTTTTCTACTAGTGCTGATCACTAAGGCATTTTAGCATGGTGCGGAGGTTTTGTTATCAATGGAACAAATACAGAATTTTATTTTTTATTATTACTGGATGAAGCATTTCAGGATGTAGTGATCTTTCATTCTTGGGCAGTGTAATTTATATTTGGACTCTGACAATTCATCTCGTTCCCAATAGACATATAGATGAAGTTAGAAAATAACTAGGGTTTATGTGAATTCCGTTTTTCTCAGGCATTTTTTATTCCTCAGAGAGACTTCCATGGGGCCAAATTACCATGAAAACTAGAATACCATGATATTTCAGTTCCGTATGGTAAAAGTTCATGTCATTCATTATTGTTGACACTGTAGAGATATCCTTGGGGAGCTATGAAAAATATAAAAAGAAAACTCCCCAAAAAACATGCATTAAAAAAATCTGGGGGAGCTGCCATTTAATTCAAATGCTCCCTGAGCAAACTGAAGCCGATTATCTCCCAAATAGAAAAAAAGGCTCTGTGCTCTGTGCTGCCCCACAGCCTGCCTCTTCTTCCTATGCATCTGATGTGGCTGTTGTGAAGCCAAGGCTGAGTTCATAGTTCATTTGTTATTAAGTTTTTCTGTAGGTTAGTTTGCCACTGAATCCCATGGACTCAAGGCAGAAAGAGAGAGCCCAGTTCAGATCTACCGAGGCTGCACTGGAAGTGCTCCACTCTCTCTCGACTCTCAGATGCTTAGGATGTGTGTCTCATTCCTTAGCTTCTCAAGTCTCTGGGTAAAGTTAAGAGGAATTAACATGGGCTGAAGAAAGTGGAGATCTGAGGGATTTTTTTTTTTTTTTTTTTTTTTTTTTTTTAATGCAAGAATCCTTGGGCAACAATGCAGCACTGCGGGATAAAAAACTTAATTTCAGCCCAGCTAGAGGGTCATTTTAATGTCTTGGACATAAGAATCGCACATAAAGTGTAATGCCATGCTGCTGCAGCCTCAGAATTATGAAGGATGAATTGGGTCCCAAGTCCATGATTTCAGTGAGTAAACAGCCAGCATTTCAAATGATCATTTGTTAAGCAGACACATGGGACAAAAGAACTTTCAAAAGTCCTCCTAGAAAGTGGTATGGGTAAGAGATGGCCTTGAGGCAGAACGTGTTTTTCTTCAGCTAGAACAAACTGAGATGCTGTGTGTTAAAGGAAGTTTGTTCTGAGACCATGAGCTTCTGCTGAGCTGTACTATAAACCTGTTTTTCTCTATTTTAATTTTTTATTTTTTAAATCATTAATAATTATAGCTCCTTTACACAATAGTAAAAACCATATACTCTTTCAAAGTGTGCTGTTTTGTTTACTTAAAATTTCTCATCATCTGAAAATGTGATTCTCTTTACTTTCTATTGCTAAGTGCAATTGTTCTCCCAGAACAGAGATGGATGCAGTTCAGTGGGAGTGGGGGTGCTGGGAGGAGGTATAATTTCTTGGATAATCATGATTACTCATGTAAAATCTGATGAAGTTCTGGTATGAGGGAACTTTGTTGAAATATATAATTTGGGTTAATGCTGCTTCATGATGCTGAGACATAAAGTGCTCCACCGTGGACATAGGTCATTTACCATGCTTTATTATTAGGTGCAGTAATATTATGGCAGCCAGGACTGTATCAGTTCTCTCCCTGGGTTTTTGACAGAAGTGAGATCTGTATAAAATTGCATCGCAACTCTTCTCCCAAAAATACCAAGAAAAAATCTCTTATATTTTATAAATAGGATGTAAAAGGAAGGTGCTTTCCTTGTGTGGGTGGGGAATGTAAAACAATACCATGTCTGACCAGTCACCTCATCTCTATGCACATGCATATGCACATGCATACTGAACTCTGGCCAACACAGTAAGTTTTCTGCTCCCTATCTTCAGAGTCTTCCAGTGCTAAAAAACACTATAAAAATATCAAGAGAAGCTTCCTTATAGTGGCATACATCAGACTGTAAAAGGAACTCACCTGGTGAGCAGTGAAAACCCTATCATTTATGTTATAAACAAGAGTAATTCTTAACATGATGTGCACAAAGCTGGACAAATATTTGATATTCAAATATTTAAATGATCTACAAACATGGCTTTGAGATGTTACTGCTACACAGAGGCATGGGTGGCTTTCTGGGCTTAGCCAACCCCAAAGAGCAAAACCAATCCCAAGAAAGAATTTACACTCAAGCTCTTGTCTTCTAGCTAGGTACTCAGGTACAAAGATGACACCAAGAGCTTTTATTTACAACTTGACAAAACACTGAAAAATATTGTCTGGAAGATAATATTGGGAGGGAAAGAAATAACCTGTTTAAAATAGCCTTTATGAAGGGGATTTTTTAAAAGAAGCACTGAGTTAGGTGTCCAGCCTGCACTGAAACCCAATGGGATTTGAGCAACTCTCACGGGTTTCTCTGAAAATCCTAATTTTCAAATGCTAGATTTTTATCTTGGCTATGCCAGAGTTACAATGAGGGAAGTCTCAGCAGGAGACCTCTGCAAATGAGATCAGAACTCAACCATAAAACGCTGACAAAGTCATCTGGAGCATAGAGCTGTGCTCGGTGACGAGTCTACCATTTCATTATTTTTGTGCTTATTGCATTTTTCCATGTGTCACTTTTGTTTTATCTGCACTTTGCATTTTGATTTGTATTTCATTATAATTTACTTTCATTTGATAGTTCTCAGTCTATTTACAGAGAACAAAAGAACGCACAAGGCAGAACAGTAGAATAATAGTGTTTATTTTCACAAGTTTGGAACGATCAAATAACTCACAAGTCACAAAGTGGAACCATGCCTGAGGTAGGTTAGGTCATCCTGAGTGTGTGGAAACAAGCAGAAATATCCCATTCTTCACTATTGTTTATTATATTTATGCCACTTGGGAGTTTTAACAATACCACATATATAAAACATTTGTTCTTGCTTTCTGCGCTGTTCAGAGTTTTCTCAAGGATCTTTGGTGCTTTTTTCATAGGAACACAGCGATGTTGCTATGCTTTAGTGACTTTCTCAACTGATTTAGCAGAACTGTAAGAAACGGCCCCTAGGAAAGAGCCAGGAGTGCTGAAAAGGAGGCTTTGTTCTCTGAATGCTTCTGTGTTTAAAGACAGTTCTTTTGAGAATTTTAACTGGCTTATTTCAACTTCTCCATTCTTTTTCATGTGCGTTCAAAGCTCAGCCCAGCAGAGAGAAACCAAAAGCAGAGTCTGCCGGTGTGATCAGCAGCTTTGCAGTCCCAACAAATCCACGACCGATTTTGATAATTTTCATACTGTTTTTGGTTTTGACAAGAGGTCCAAACACAGATGTCTAAAGCCACATCTACTGGTCTAAATCCAGTATTCGAAAAGCTAATAGTAATCATGGGAGCACTGCTTCCTTCATTTGCAGTTTGAAGAACTTTCAAGAAGCCTCACAGCAAAGGGTGACTGAAAATAAAGGCAAAGGGGGCAGCTTGCCTCAAAGAGTCTCCTCCAAGCCACTCACCTGGCTCACCATTTTGGATGTCCAGAGTCCTGCTGAAGGTCAATGCAGTTTATCAACCCAGCCTTGCAGGATAACCTAAAATCACAGCCAGTTTTCTTGGAAATACAAACCTGCAACATGCGGTGATTCAACAGCTGCTGCTTAGGCAGTTGATTTTTACTGCTGAGATGTCTGAGAGCTGGCAGCAGGAGCGATCAGAGTCCTAAGGCTATTTCAACATGAGCAGTTGAAAATTAAGTCACTGAAATTTACTGTTCATTATTCCTCTGGAAAACTCAGGATTAAATTGAAAGACTTTTCAAAAGTGCTGGGTTCCTAGAAACTATCACTACTTTTCAAAGGAGCTGTTGGCTGCTCAGTTGCTTTAGAATAACTACATTTCATCTGTGGTCTTAGCAGCCTAACTTTATGGACTGACAGTTTTATTACAGAAACTTTAAGTCTGCTAGGACTTCAAACAGAGAAAGAACGACTCCTTCTGAGTCTTTTCTTAAGTTCATGGAGCTGTTCATGACTTTGAAAAAATTCCTGTGTTTGAAGCATAAATAATGTTGCAGTAATAACCTCAAATAAGATGGGAATGGGTGCAGAGGCAGAGCAAACAAAATGTATTACTTAAGGATTTCATCATTCATTCCTGCCTCCTTTTTCTCTCCCACTTTGGGAAAGATGCTTTGCATCTACAGGGCTGAAGAGCATGGCCAGTGACTGGCTGCTGCTCCCGAGGGCAAATGGTGATGACTGGTTTGTAGCTGCCCTACTTAGGGCCAGACCTCTCCATAGCATATTTGTCTCAGAACTCATTCAAGAGGCCCCCAAAAGAGCTGGGCGGTAAATTAGCAGTTAGGAAGCTCAGGCAATAGAGGTCCAGAGCTGTAGTTCACTTCTTGGACTTCAGGAGCAGAGACCCAACAAATGCTGCCTCTGAGTGTGTGAGCCCAGCCTGGTCTCTTCCTTCCCACTCACGTTTATAGAAAGGTGAGCACCATCTGCATGTTTGAAGGATGCTGCCCCCACCTGGCACGCAGAAATGGAGGACATGGAAGCTCTGCAGGACAGGTCTTTCCTGACTGCTGAATTTGATAAACATCAAGAAGGGAGGATGATGGAGAAAGAAGAGTTGCAGAGACAGCACTGGGATTGCAGAGAGCATGGGCAGACATACGTTTCGATAGCACGTGATTTTTCCACCATAAAAGATTTTTTTTTTCCATCCAGGTGGGGTAAAAATGACTTGTAGAGGTTTTGGCCAAATGAAGGCAGAGATCCAACCTTTATTATCCAGGTGAGGGAATTTCAAGCAGGCTGAGGCACTCGGAGGATGCGAGATGTGATCTTGCATTCCTTTCAGACCTACAGAAAGCACTTTCTTGGAAAGCAGGAAAGAAAGAGAGAAGCAGATGCTTTGGGTCTCAGCTCCCATTCCAGGATGCTCCTGGAACAGCCTCCACACGTACTGCCTCTTAGCAATCCCAGTGGCACAATTTAGCCTTTAACGACTCAATTTAGCCAATTATGTCACCTGATTTAGAAAGAATAAATCACTGTCTCCAGGAACAGAGGGAGAAATACATGTACAGTCAAAGCACAATTCTGCCGAAGCTAGTAGTGTGAATATAGCCCAGGATGTCATCTCTTGGGTCAGCCTGCAGGATCAGCGTGTTGAACGTTATGGTTTTGTTTTCTTGATGTAATCCTTGGTACCCCTGTAAGAAAGACTACAACATTTATGTCTGGAATCAGTCCAGATTTGTATCAACTGGAGGACATTATTGTCTCTATTAAAATGTTCACATGGTATTATCCCACAACCCATCCCATATTTATTTTGGAAATCGTTACATCTGGAAAATGGGAAGACTTCCAGTTGATACTTTTACCTTGAAGTATCAGCAAACACAAGGGTATTTTGAGATTATTCCCTGCTAAAAAAAAAATGAGCAAGTAGCATTTATGACTGTAAGCCAAAAGAGAATCCCTTTTCAAATAATGCAAAATGGTTTAAGTTTACAGTTTTGGAGACAAGGGTGAAAAGTGCTTCTTGCAGGGTCCTTCAGTCCTGTCCTTTGGGGAAAGTAAAACCAGCTCAATGCTGTCCTAGACAGGCATCTCAAGCATTAGGGAAATTATTTGTGTTGTAAGCTTGGGGTTTATCTACGAAGCTAATTATAGAGCATACCTATCACTTGTCCCAGATCTTGAGAAGAAATGGAGATGGGTGAAGCTGACTGTCCCTAGAGATGACTGATGGTGTGAGACTCCAGGCCTTCAGCTCTCTCCACAAATTTGCTCCTTTTTGCAAATATCCTGGCAATATTCTGACAGCACCCCAGAGAGCACACGGCACAGCCACATCTCCCAACTCCTGTGCAGTTTCCTGAAAGAAGCAGATGAATGTATCTGCACATTACCTCCGCTGACCTGAGCTGAAGGATGAATCTAATCCCCAGCTTTTGTAGCAGCACGATAATTTTCAGCGAGGATTTCATAGAACTTTATAATGGAGGCATGAGACAATCACACAGATGGCAAAAGAGCAGAAGGAGAAAAACAATGAGAGTGGAAGACTGGGAGGGAAAAGGAGAAGTGATTGGAAAAAAAACAAAAAACAAAAAAAAAACTAATTCTGCCAGAAAGAGCAGCTCTTAGTGGGTAAGAAGAGCTACTGGCAGAAGTGGGGTCAGGCACTGAGAACGACACAAGCAGCAGGGAAAAGCTGGATCACCTGTCCCGAGGGAGAAAACAAATACATGGCAAAAAAAGCCCACAAGCTGGAAAGCAGTTTGAGAGCAGAGAGGGCAAAGCACTGCATTGCTTCCAAGTTAAAACGCTTCCAGATTGCTCTGATACTTAGAAATATTTAGAAGGAAGGATTCCCAGATCCCAATGCACTTGGAACACAACCCCGCCTGCAATGTTGCAATGTGGAGCTCCTTGTTTAGCTTATTTTTTCCTTGCTTTCTTCCTTGCTTCTTTCCTTCCTTCTTTCCTTCCCCTCTTTTTCTGCTTTGTTTCCAATCAGTTCAATGCACTGCCTTGGATCCCCACCCAGCCTACCTCGTAACACCTTTGCCTTCCTACCATGAAGGAAGGTGAAATTCTTCACACATCCAGCTCCTGCCATGGGCTGAACTGTGTAATTTCACTTGCAGACGCCAGATTAGGCAGACACTGAAGATAACAGCGAAGAATATTCTCAGACCACAAGACCCACTGACAGCTGGACAGGCAGGCACTGCTGGTCTTCACATAGCAGCAGCTACCCAAGCCCCCCAGTACTGATGCCGCCTGTTCTGCTGCTAACCAGGTACCAGTTAGCTAACTGGTTAGCATCAGCACAGGTAACCTGGAGGACTGCAGTGCTGTCCAACAGCTGAGGGCTCTTGCTGAAGTCTGGGAGGAGTGAATGGTGCCTGAGGGCAGCTTTCTGCCAGCCTGGCTGCAGACGGGTATGTGATCACCTGGAGGAAAAAGAGTCCAATGCGGTGGGATTCTGCCACCTTGCTCCTGTGTGTGGCACAAGGGACAGAAATTGGGTGGTTGTAGCTGTCCTAGGACATCTTCTTTACCCAGATGCACTGGTACATCCGACACTGCTGCATTAGGGAGGAGCAGGGAGTAAGCTGAGCACTCGCCTCCTTGTCATTCACGCTGCTGGCGATCAGCTCACCCTCTGCTGCTCTTTTTGGGACTGGGAGAAGCGCTCTCCAGGACACCCGGACATTACAGGGCAAGTCCTGGACAGCCCGGGACACATCACTCAGCCTCGTGCCAAGGGACGGATCCCTGGCGTTCGTTCTCGTAGTGCTACAGCCAGCCTGCTATTCCTGGTATGCAGCCAGGACAGCTCCTGAAAACCCTGCGTACTTAGGGAGGTAAAACTAAAGGTCCTCAGTGCTTTTTTAACCCCAGTGACTCTCCTTTTCCAAGACTACGTGGTCCCAGTTCCAGCCGAGGGTAAGCTTTCTCCCAGGACAGAGTGACCTGGCACAGGCTGTCAGGCAATTCCCATGCTACTTTTACCCCAGGGCTCCTTCCCAGCATTGCAACCCCATGGAAAAGGGCCTGGAACAAGGTCAGTTCTGTGCCTTCTTCTGCATTAGCACAGACCCAGAGCCGTCCTCAGCTGGCAGAAATCCCAAAGCCTCCTGCTCTGGGCTGGCAGCGACTCGGTCCCACCAGGGCACGAGGACGGGGCTGGGTCCTCCTCCATCAGGAGGTGTTTTCCCCAACCAAGTCCTCCAGCACCAGGACCGGCTGCAGAACCATGTGCCAGCCGTGAAATCGTCGGCTTGGGCCATTATTGCTCTGGTGCGTGCCTCAATTCCCTGCCCACAAACACAAGGCAGCGAGCGAGCCTCGAGCCCAGAGTGGTACCGCGGCCAAAACATGCAAGCAAGAGAGCCAGCACCCGTAGCTTAGGCAATCGTTGCCTTTTCTGCCCACAAAAGGGATTTCCTTGCCATGGAGCTGTTCCCAGCCCACACCTGAGTGCAGAGGGTCCTTGGGATCCTTCATCCACCAAGGGCCTTGAAGTAACCTGCCCTGCCTGCACCCACACAAGCTGTCCCTTCATAGGGATGTACCCTAAACTCCCAGCCCCAAATAAACCAGGATTTCACGCTGGACTCTTGCACCAGTTTTGCAACTGCCCAGGCCACAGGGGCAGCTGCTCCCCCCGAGGGGGTGCTGAAAAGCTGCAGGACCCCCCTGGCAAGCCGAAGGTCCTGGCTGTCCTGGGACACTGATGCACATGGGGCAGATGCTCCGGGGAGCGACTCCCCCTGGTTGCACCCCCCCCCCCCCCGGTTTGCAACCCTCCCCCCTCAATTTGCAACCCCCAGCACCTACAAAACACCCCCCAGAGGTTTGCAACACCCACCTCTCCCCCCGTTTTCAGCCTCCCCCCCCAAAGTTTGCAACCCCCCCCAAAAGGGTTTGCAACACCCCCCTCCTCCCCTTGTTCGCAACCCCTCCCAAGGGTTTGCAGCCCCCGCAGGAAGATTGCAACAGCCTCCCTCCCCCCCAGCTGCAGACCCCTACCCGAGTTTGCAACCCCCCACCCCAAGGGTGTGCAACACCCCCCTTGCCCCCTGCTTTCAGCCTCCCCAAGGTTTGTAACGCCCCCCCCATTTGCAGCCCCCCTCGATTTGCAACCCCCAGGGCTTGCAACAACCCCGCCCCAAGGCTCTGCAACACCCTCAGGCTTTGCAATACGCCCCCCCCCCCAACTGTTTGCAACCCCCCCATACCCCCAAGGCTTTGCAGCCCCTCACTGTTTGCAGCCCCCCCCCCCCAGTTTGCAACCCCCAGGCTTTACACCCCCCCCCATAGATTTGCAGCCCCCAGGCCTCACAGCCCCCTCAGGGCTTGCATCACCCCCCCCTTCTCCCTGTTTGCAGCCCCCAGGCTTTGCAACCCCCCCCCTAAGATCTACCCCCTACCCCCCCAGATTTGCAACTCCCCCCTCCATTTGCAGCCCCCCCGCCTTTATACCCCATCATTTTGCAACCCCCAATCCTTGCAGCCCACCCAGGGTTTGCAACACCCCCCCTCCCCCAATTTACAGCCCCCAGGCTTTACACCCGCCCCATATATCCCCCCATAGACTTACTCCCCCCCATTCCCATTTGCAGCCCCCCAATTTTTACAACCCCCCCCCCCTTGATTTAGCAGCCCCCAGGCCTTGCAGCCCCCCCAGGGCATACAACACCCCCCCCCCTTCCCCTATCTGCACCCCCCATACATTTACACCCCCCCCCACCCCATACATTCCCCCCCACCCCCATACATTCACCCCCCTCCATCTGCCCCCCCACCCCCCCACGTGCATCCCTCCCGCGCCCCGCCCCCCCCTCCCCCAGCGGCCTCCGATTGGCTGCGGGCCTCACGCGAGCCCGGCGGGGGGGCGGGGCTTAGAGACCGAGGGGAGGGGGGGGGAGCGAGAGCCGCGGCTGCCCGCGAGTAACCCCGGCGGCGGCGGCGGGCAGCGGCCGTGACGCGCTCCCCCCCCCCCCCCCGCCAGCGTCCCCAAGATGGCGGCGCTGAGCAAATCCATCCCCCACGGGTGCTACGAGATCGGGCACACCTGGCAGCCCCGCTGCTCCCTCGCCGTCCTGCACGTCACGCAGGGGGCGCTGACCGAGTCCCTCCGCATCTACGGCACCCTCTACCTGGTGGGTGGTAGCCCCCCCCCCCGGGGGTTTGGAGGGGGGGGGGGGAGAAGGGGTGTAGGGGGGTGTTGGGGTTGGGGTCTGGGTGCTCTGAGGGGGGTGAGGGAGGGGGAAATGGTAAAGGGAAGGGGTAAGGGGGTGAGGGGAGGGGTAAAGGGGGGAGTGCAAGGGCTAAAGGGAAGGGGGGGTAAGGGGTAATGGAAGAGGTTATAAGGAGAAAGGGGGTGATAGAAGGGGGGGGTAAGGGAAGAGAAGGAGGGGAAAAGGAAGGGGTAAGGGGGTGTTTGGGGAGGGGTATGGGGGTTAAAGGGGTGGGGGGAGCGTGTTTTGGGGGTGTGGGGTGTGTGAGGAGGAGCAGGGAGAGGGTCTGGGGGGTGTCTGGGGGATGCTGGGGGAGGTGAGGTAGGGCAGGTGTAAGGGCAGTCTCAGGTGGGGTAAAAAGGTTAAAAAAAAAGCTGTTTTGGAGCATTTGGGGGCATAGGGTATAAAAAAGGCTTTTCGGGGGTCTGGAGCTGCACGATGTAAAGTGGGATGTAAAAAGGCTGTTTTGGGGGTCTGGAGCTGTAGGGCATAAAGTGGGGTGTAAAAAGGCTGTTTTGGGGGTCTGGTGCTGCAGGGTTTTGAAGTGGGGTATGAAAAGGCTGTTTTGAGGGTTTGGGGCTGCAAGGCATAAATTGGGGTGTAAAAAGGCTGTTTTGGGTTATCTGGGGGTGCAGCTTGCTTCCAGGTTGTAAATGGGGGGGGGGGGGTTCAGGGCTGGTGGTGGCAGCAAATGCTTTGGGGGTGAACCTGGTGAGGTAGGAGGGTGCTGGGTGTCTTCCTCGCTTCTCTGTGCTTAGGAGGCCAAGAGCAAAGCACGTGTGTTGTTCCGTCAGTGGCACCTTGGAAATAGAGTCTGGGTAATCAGTGCCTTAGGATCCAGCGAGGTTCCGCTGCGTAATGAAGAGCAAGGCTAAAAATACATGCTGAGGCTGGAGGAGTTAGGGAGGATCGTACAGGTGAGGTGTTTTAGGCTGTGCACGCAGTTAGATTCGGTTATATCACCTTGGTTGTGGCTGGCTTGCTTCCAGCAAGTTAGGGCGTAGGTAGGGGACTGGGATCTGTTTGCACCCATCTGTGTAAACGTATCCTGAAAGCTGATCTCTGCTGGGATTGCTGCAGGTAAGCACTTCCTGCTGTCCCCACCTTTGTGTTTGTCCTGTAACGGTGCTCAGAGGGCTGAGCAGTGAGCCGGCTGCAAACGAAGTCTAAAATACAGAAAAACAGGTCAGTGAGTCTGTGCTTTCTGCTCTGTACCAGTGCTGGTGCAATAAAATGATCAAGATGTGAAATAGAAGGGAAAGAGTGGGATTGCAGCAGTCCTGGCGTAATGAATTTAAGCATACTTTGAAAATTGTGGCAATATCGAATGCCACGCTAAGAGAAGTGACTGATTGGTAGCGGGGTGGACCTGTGCAGTTGCCATGTCTGGCAGAGAAGGTTTGCGCACCGAGCTGGCACAAACAGAAGTGGCAGCTGTTTGTGTGAGGGCACAGTGGGCTGGCTCAGGACACGAGTGCAGAGAAGGACATTCCCTCTTCTCCACCTCCCTGCCGTGACCCAGTAATTTTTCCCTCTGATCTGTTTTCTGATGCAGTTTGCCATGCAGGAACGTGAACACTTGTACCTGCAGAGAGTGGGCCTGATGTAAGGCACGAGGGTTGTAGTGGTGATCTGTCAGGTGTGGCTAAGGAAAAAGCAGCTTAAACAGCTCTGTGGTTAAATCAAAGTTGTTCAGCCTAGTAAGTAAGCCCTGCTCATAGCTATGTCACAGCTCCTGCAGTTGTGGGTTTGGAGGAAAACTCCCCCTTTTTCTTTAAAAAGTAAAACAAACCCCAAATCCCCATTTGTTTTCCATTCTATTTGATTTGTGGACCCACAACTGCCTTGTCACAAATCTGAGGTAGGATGGGAACCTTTACAACCTGTGTCATGCAAGGTGCAAAACGACTGCAGTGTTCACACTGCCTTATTGACAGCGTTTAATTTTCTGAAGTTTTTATTAATGATGTTTAACCTACCAGAGTAATCTAAACCTGAGCTGCTCTGAAATCTCGGTTACCTACAGAGGGAGGAAGCCCTCACCTTCCAGTGCTCCCAGACACGTAACTGTATTCCTTGCTTTGTGTGGTCTCGGACTTGATCATGGTCCTCCCTGAGCAGGTTTGTTCACTAACCCAGAAAAAAGTTTACTGCCCTGCTTTTAGCTGAATTTTCAGCTACGTTAATGAATCGAATTGACTCTTTATGAAGGCTTACTGAGCACCAGAGCCAGCAGAAGGTGAAGAGTGAAAGGGTGCAGTAGGGACTGCAGAGGGTGAAGGGAAGGCCTTGCACACTAAGTAGCTTGGCAGGGAAAGAGCTCTCCTAAGTTAGGAGCCATCACTAAGTAATTCTTTGGCAGACTTAAAGCTGTGTTTGAAATCCTTGTATTTGTAAGTGAAACAGTTGCACAGCACAGTCAGTCCTATATTCTTAGTCATGTAGTGGGATGGATTTAAGTTATTTTATTTCTGTAGTCATATTTGTGATGTTCAGAATGTCGCTAGCTCTACTTAGTCCCCAGTTTGAGAGCGCAACATCAAAAATTGCACTTTTTGTTTTCTGTTGAGCCTGTAAAATACCTTCTGCTTGTTTGTTCCTCCTGTTGCCACATGCTAATAACAAAGAAAGGTAGATGAAAGAGCTGGTGTGGAAATGAAGTAGGTTGAGTAGAGGAGAAGTTGCCAGAGGTCGTTCTTGGAGAGACGTGTGGGTGGTTAGGGACAGTTATAATCCAGAGCCTAACTTGTAACATCTTCACCTTGTGTCTCTGGTGTTTTGCTGCTCTTCACCAAGTGGGACACTGGTGGAGCCGTGATGGAGTGGTGCTAGTGCTTGTTGTGTAACATGGTGCCTATCAGTAAGTAGCTAGAAAGAGTCTTTGCTTTTAAATAGTGCTGCGTGTTAGTGTTTTTTTTTTAATAACAGTACTTATGTATATTTTTAGTTGGAAAAATAAGATTTCAGATAATCATTTCACTGTCTTTATTTTGCTCCAGTACTGGTTGATTGGTTTAGCAAATGTAGGTTTTATATCTAAATTGAAATGTCACTCCCCAAAAGTATACGTAGCTGTCAGATAGCAATTTGTAGATGCCATGAGAGACCCTTCGTTATTTTTTCCAGATGCTCAGGTCTGCTTGAGAAGCTTCAGTAACATGGTGGGTGTTGGAGGGAAAGACAATAAAATAAATTTCCCTCCCTGGAAGGGTTGATATAAGGGGCAGAGGTGGCAACTGAGGTGGGAGAAAATGCTGAGAAATGCTCCATGTGATATATTTCCATCTCGTACTTAGCAGTAGAGAAGTTGTAGAGTAATTTTTGAAATGCTTGTACGGCATAATTCAGTGTTAATAAATGCTTTCAGCCTTACAGTGAGGGTTTCATAATGTGTTCAAGCAATATGTAATTAATGACAGTGTCTTCTATGCTGTGTTGTTAATTGCATTATAATTAAAAGAAATAGGGATTGATTTGGATGAAGATTTTGTTTTTAGAGAGAATTCTGGAGGGAAAACATACCAG